CATGACTTACTAGCCAGACTGAGGAGGCAAAAGATTACCAAGTTACTTGTAGGATTTTTCAAGTAATTCATTTCCTGATCATCTCAATTTCATCAAATTGAAACAAGGAACATCAAAGTAACTGTCCTAGTGAGTGGATGCATCATCTTTCAGGAATGACATAAGATCTGCAACAGCCACATAGAGAAATCAGTTTCATTTGTTCTCTGGGCTTGACTATTTGATAATCTGCATTAGAGGTCTGATAACTCTCCCGAAATCTTTTTCTCTGTGGAAATTTACCTACCCAAGTCCCAAACCAGCAATACAAACTCCTCCAAAACAAGACTGAAAGTGAATATTTAGAGATGTAGAACATTGGCTGAACCAGCAGCAAACTTCACCAGAATAACAAATTGTCTGCAATAAACTAATCATCATGGCTATGAGCCCACAGATTTGGAATCTACGTTAGAACAATCCTCTGCAGAGAAGGGATGTGCTCACATACTCTCACCCAAACAGAGTTTCCTCCAAGAAAGCTGTAGGCTGAGCTCTCAGGCTGTGTGTGTTAACCAGGAGTACTCAACCAAGCAATCCATACTGTGGGTTCTCATACTCCCAGAGGGGATCCAGAGCTCTCTGAGCACACTCAGAAGTACAGGGGACATTTTGTGAAAACCACCCGATAACCACAGAGTTAGAGTTCCATTTATACTTACAGCAGGGGGACAAGAAAGCTGCCCTTGGAGCCCTAGACACGAAATGATCATCTCCAAGACAAATAAACAAATAAATGTGTTCCAGGTTGTCCTGGTTCAGTGAACACTGGATCACACCACAGGAACAGTGAGGTTACCTTCTCCCAAGGATCTTGGCTTTGCTTTCACAGTCACACTGTTGGCAAGAGGCTTCTCATGCAAAAGTTCCTTGCCCCAAGCTACAACTATCACTCTTCTCCTCCTGACTATCCACAGGCAATAGTGGAAAATACCAGAAGAAGACAGAACAGGGGAAAGGAGGAAGGGAAAAAAAAAAAAAAAGCTGAAATGGAGAAGAAAACCACAATTGCAAACAAATTATCTTTATTGTCATCTCCCCTTTACTTCCACAATGACTTTTTACAGGAACATGCCAGGACAACCTGCTGCATGTGAGGAACAGCCAGGGTCACAGACAAGTAGAAGTTCTCAAAAGCTAACTCCTTTAAGCACCACCTGAGGTTTTTAAACCTGTTTTGTACAATGTCATAAAAAAAATACAGAAAAGACTCCTACATTCAGCTTTCCCAGTTAATAAAGTAGACAAGTATATAACATATTTTCCATAAAAGAAAAGTTGGGTTTGAGTTCACACCAACAATCTCAATTTATATCTGTTTCCTTTTTCAAAGAGCACAAATAAGCACGTATTTCATGAACGTCGAAAACATTCTACATTAAAGATGCTTTCAAGCCAGAAGAATTGATCTGCTCTGAACATGGGATATGGATGAAAAGAGGCACAATTGAGAAGAAACTTAACAAAAAAGAAAGGCAGCACAAGGTCTTCCAGCAATACACTTCTACACAAGAACACAACTGCCAAGAAACCATACGTAAAAAATGAGAAAGAAGAATACACAACAATTACTCTAGTGCCAGAGTAATTTTAGAAACATGGGTCATCTTATGATTTATTTTATTATTTTATTAATACTTTGCTGTACTAGAGAGAACTCTGGTCTCTAACTAAACCTAGTAATTTTCTTAAATCAAGATGGGGGGGTAGCAGGATAAACATCTTCCTGCAAACTTCCAAATAATTTGAAGAAATGACTTCACAAAGCAAGATTTGCTTTTGCAGTCACACAACCACAGCTCCATCAGCCTGTGGTTTGCTGCTGTCCCAACACTCACTTCCTAAAGGGCAAAGGGGGTACAAATATTTTCTCATATTCAAGCAACTATGGACCTTCAGGAGAGATAAAAAACCTTGTCACTGCTTATATTTCCACTGATCTACCAGAATAGCCTAATTTTGAGACTTATCCTTCCATGATTAAATGGGGCTAGTACTCTGTTCTTGATGTTCTTAACAGGATCAAAGACACTTATGTTCATTTCCCTCACATGAAAAAATATTTTCTTTTACCCAATTGAGAGAATGTGAAGAAGAAATCACCATTTTCTCAGGAAACTGCAATGGGAACAAGCTGCCAAGCATTTCAGCACACAGATTGCAAGGACTTGCCAACGAAAGCTGCCTATGCAGAGAATTAACCAGTACCTGCTTTCCTTCTGCTCAGTGTGAGGTTGACTCCAAGTAATTACCTTAAAAATGTCTTAATACAAAATATGTAAAGATACTTTTTATCTTCCTAACATGATGCTATGAAAGATAAACTGTTTAAGGTATGGGATGATGCTTAAATAAGCTCTGAACTGTTCAAAGTTTCATGGAAATTATGGTGCCTTGTTCTTTAAATAAGCTCTCACTAATATGGTCACTTGATTTGACTTCAAAAAGAAAGTGAGAAATCAGAATGTTTCCTTGCATTTGATTACAGAACTTCCTGGGAGTCTAATATGCAGCCTGATCTATTTTTAATTTTTTTCAATCAGCTAGACTGCTACAAACGCTAGGAAATTATTTTCAGAAACATTTGAAATAGTTGTAACAAATTTTTGAAGCCTTCATTTATATTGACAGGTCATTTGGTGTCAAAAACTGCGGAGAAGTATCAATGCCAAGACTACTCTCTTTCAGGATGTGCATTTCTAATGACTAAAAACTACAGTATACCACATAAACACACAACAAAATAGATTCAGAATTTCTGCTTTCATATCAAATGATTCAGTTATTTACTTCCAAGAATTGAGGGGGAAGTTGTGTGAAAGCAGTGAATATCTATGTCTTATTTTGGCACCAAATAAAGAGGGGAAGGACAGTTCCATTCTTTTTCTCTCGTGTCACTTAAACCTACCTGTATTTATTTTTTTAACTGCATTTTATAGAAGCAGGCTAAGACTGTTGCTCTTCCACAGAAACATTTTTCAGCTGTGAGTGATGATATATTTAGTATTTGTTAAATCCACTAAATACCTCAAAGGGCTTTTAAAAAAGGCTGTGTAATCAACTAACTTCAAAAAGTTCTTTAGGGCTCATCATGCTTCAAAAACTGCTCTATTTTCTCTTAGTTCTTGAAACTTAGAGGTAAGGATAATAGGAGGAAACTAAGTTCATTCTAATGCTCAGACTGATCATTGATAAGGTAGAATTAGTTCTTTAAAAAGTAAACTCTTAGTTTAGGAAACAAGGTACACCTGCCTCGTTCTGACAACACAGGAAAATAAGGCCTTTAAGTCAGCAGTCCTGCAATCCCCTGAGCCTTCCACTCGTTCCACCACAGGCTGGAATCACAGGTTTGGTGTCTCTGGTGAGCAACTGGCATGAAATCTAAGTGGGAAACATATTTTCTGTGAAATACACTGAACAGAGAGAAGTGTAGGAAGCATCCACGGTAAGGAAAGCCTGTCTTGGAGCAGAACAATAACCACCAGAAGTGTCTTTGCACACAGAACACAGGAGGTGGGGAAAAGGTGCTATTGAAAAAGTTGTGTTTACTGGAATCCACAAGCAGTTATGCATATTCCTGCTCACTCTGTCAAGGTAAGAAACAAAGGCTGCCTGAGCTGTGTTGGTTTAGTAGCACATTAATATGTAAGCAGCCAGATTCTGAACCTAAAATTCACACCTCATCACAACAAATAATTGCATATTATCTTGCAGAGGATCAAATTCAATAGAACGACTATTACAACATCAATGCTATTAGTGTAAACTCATATTTCTTTTCAAGACTATAATAAAATACAACAAAATCAAAAAACATATCTAAATAATTAATCCAGAACTAAATCCTTCTGCTCTGAAGGGCTCAGAAAAACAGCAATATTCTGCATAAGAGCATATGAAATAGTTTAAGGATTTTTTAAAACTACACCATTTCCACCTCATGCTCAGAAGGAAATAACTGAAAATATTTTATCTAATTGTCCTGGTTTCTAACAAGCACATTTCAAGTTGAAAACTCTCTGGTCCATTAAAAGAGCTAGAGTGACATAATTGAAACCAGTAACGCATTAAATTAAATGGAGCAAATCTTCACCAATAACACAGACTCTGTTACCAGTGCCCTCAGAAATGCCTAATTCTTCATAAGTGTCAAGCCCCATTTCACTGCTTATGAGAAAAACTTCCATGAAGCAGGATTATCCGTGTGTGTGTGTCCATGTGTGCGCTGCGCCCACACACAGATGCAGCCACTCATGATCAGCGCTAAATGAGACCACCTGAGTCAGACTCTCAACTCTTTTTTGTTGTTTTTTCTGGGTTGTTTTTTTTGTTTGTTTGTTTTAAATTTGTGCCAGCAGGACACAATGGAAAGTGACCAAGGATATCACAAAGGATCCCAACTTGCGCTCAGAACAAACAAGCTTCTCCCTCAGAGCAGCAGCCTGCCCTGGGGCGAGCCCCAGCCTCCCTCAGGGCTCTCGGGTGCCCCAAAGCCACAGCCTTTCCAGCCCTCCCGGCGGAACTCCTCCATGCCGTGTGTGTACCTTAAATCCCACGGTGCTCGTCCCGTTTGGTCACCTCCGGCACCACACGGCTGGTGGTGAATTTGCAGCCGCGCCAGACCCTGAGCGCTGGCCGCTTCTCAAGGTGAGCCCAAGTGAGCGCCGATGGAACGGGCACCGGCGGCTGAGCCAGCGCCAGAGGCTCATTTGTCATCGCAACTTTCACCCGTTGATAAAACCCCATCCACCTTGGCCAGCCCTTGCAAAGGGGCGGTGGAAGTGCCGGGGCAGCGCCGCAGCCGTGCCGCGCAGGGCGCAGCCGATCGAGGCGCTCACCTGCCCGCCTCAGCGCGGGGAGGGCGCCGCGGCCCGCAATCGCCGCCGCGTCCCACCTGTCGGGCGGCCGCGCATCCCTCAGGCGCCGGTCCCGCCCGCCCCCTCCCGCGCCCCCCGACTCACCGAGAAGCCGGCCCAGAAGGGGCAGGAGTGGCGGACGCGGGCCGAGGTGGTGAGCGCCAGGGCGGCGAAGCTGACGGCCACGATGAGGCAGCCGAGCACCATCTGCGTGACCCCCAGGGCCAGCATGGCCCGCGAGCGGGCGCGCTGCTCGCGCAGGCGGGACAGGCTGCGGGACAGCGCGGTGGGGCTGAGGGAGCGCGCCCCGCCGGGGGCCCCAGGCGGGCTCCGGGCGAGGGGCCCGGCCCGAGGCCCCCCTGCAGCCGGACGGCGCCCCGAGCCGCCCCGCTCCTGCCGCCGCGGCCCTGAGGGCAAAATCGCTCCCACCTGGGCTTTGTGCAGCAGCGGCACCGGCAGCCTCCCCCTTGCTCTGTGTGCTCCCGTCCAGCTGCGGAGGAAGGGCAGGGCTGGGTCTCAGGTCTGTGCTGGAGGCATCTTGAACGTTTATTTTTTAGGGTTTTTTTTTCCCCTCACAGCAAACCATAACCAAGTCTCAGGTGCAGCATCCCAGTAGCAGAAACATAAGAGGCTTCTAATTATAAAAACTTCCCAGCCCTGCTGCTGCTGCCAACGGGGTCCAGCATGGCAGGGCTGCCCACAGCACCTGAAGCCACTTTTCTGCAGGAGGGAAATCCCAGCAATTAGGTATCAAGTGCAAACAGCTTGGCCTACTCATGAAAAACACAGAACCCAAACCCCAGGTAATCATCTCACTATACTGCAGGATAGTTTAGGCAGTAAAACTATGCCAAGATTAACATGTTTGTAGCACCATAATCTACTAAAATAGTATTTTTTTGTTTAATACAAGAATTGGCACATGTTGTCTACATATCTGTGATATTCACAAAAAAAAAAAAAACAAAAACAAAAAAAAAAACCTCAACCCGAACATCACATGTACACCTGGCTTAAAACTTTGGTTCCCTCTTTTCATACAATATCCAGATGTTTTGCTGTAACGAAAGAACACAAAAAAGCTTCTGCTTTCAGCTTAATTCACTATGTCACACAACATCATAGGATAACAGCTGCTGTCACCCCACCATGGCTGAAATACTGCTCCAGCACATGTGCAAGCCATATTTTAATCAGACACAAGAGCACCTGAAAAACTCTACACTGAAGAAACAAATGTTTCGCTAGAAGTTTTTAGTCAAATGCAGAATTGTACTACATTAACACTGCTCATAATCAAAAGAAGAGTTAGCTTACAATGACAGACTGGGCCTGATAACACATTCCCAAGTGACATTCCCAAATTCACTGCTGGCACAGGTGTGCTACCTCCCATCTGAAAGCCCAGGCAGAACAGATAAATGAAGGCAGGTGGGAACGTATGATTATAGATCACACTGAATTTTTGTTTATACCTGTTCACACTAAAACTAACATCCGCTTGCATTTATTTACGTAGAACTATTTGCTGTCCAGCATTGGAAACATTACTTCAAAATGCCCCTTTCAAAGTCAAGGAAGAGTCTGTGTTCCAGTGTTCTGCCAAATAAGGTGAAAGGTTCTAGCAAAAAGAAGCAAAACCAAAGCCCAGGTGCAAACAGAACCTCTGCAGTCTCCATGATTAAGTAGCTCATTCTCCATCAAGGCAGAAATGCTTTAGGTTATTCAACAGCAGGACAATTAGAAACCTTAATACATGCATTTAAACCTCTATCTGGGTGCTCTCATTCAGGAACAAGATGGCCCTAGGGCTTGGAGAAATTAGGACACATTACACTGGGGTGTGAATTTACATCTCACTAACTCCCTGTGCTGATACTATTGAAAGTGTTACGTACAAAGCAATTTACCTTCATTTCCAAGGACTTTCTAACTTGTATATAAAAAATAAAAAATTAATAATCCACATTTGTGGGTAACCCAGAGGAGGATCTGGCACTGCAAATCCACAAGCTCACCTGCTGTCCATGAGCCTCACATGTGGGTAAATCTCAGGTAATCAATACTTCCACAGCTTCCAATATGGCCAACTAAGGCTATGAGACAAAAATTATTTTGGCTTTCAGTATGAATCCACTGGACTTTAAATTGCTTTTTGTCACTTCAACATTTGTGAATATTCAGATGTAGAGAGATACTGTTCAAGATCTGAATTAGCTCTGGATACACTTCTTAGTTTTCTTTGAAGAGTCTTCGTTGCTGGATTTGTTTGAGAAGTATTTGAGAGCAATTTGGGAAGTAGTATTGTCCCTAACTAAAGTTATTTTGCTGAAGAGACCTATTTGGTATACCTCCATTGGTATTTTTCAGTGCCAGATCACTGCATGCGAATGGGATGTGGTACTGAAATTTCTTCCAGAAATGTGGCCACAAAAGCTTTGGAATAGCCGTGTTTATATGGGAACACTATAAACTACTAATTTTAAATTTACCAAATAATTTGTTTCCCAAAGGCAGCCAGAAGGTTACTATATATCAGACCTTATTATTAGCCTGTTAAAACCCATCAAAACTTGGAAGCCAGTATGATAATGATGCCACTTTCACCATAACTGTCAGCCTTTACTGGCTCCCAGCAGTTCAGAAAGCAGCTTCATACTCAGGGGTGTGTCAGTGGATAGAAGTTCATATTTATTCCACCTCACTTTGCACTGCAGTGAATTTCATGCATCTGTCTCTTCAACTGTTATTTGAGATGAAGCAAATGGCATTTTCAAGTAAGACAGAGTTGGGAAAGGAGCAAAGAGAAGTAAATCCACAGTTACAGTAAAGCCTCTCTTGCCATTACGAAGGTGCCCTACAGGGTACAGGCATTGAAAGCACGTCCAAGGGCCCTGCCACTGCCACTTACATCCAGCATGGCCCAAATCTGCATCCCTTACACGAGCTCGTGATTTGAAGCAGCCCCTCTCTGTGTATGCAGCTTCAAAGACTGATTAAGCACTAACAAACCAGGCTGTCCCACACAATATACATCTTAAACATGTAGTGGAAATTGGTCAAATGTGGTAACAGTCCTGAACAATAGATTGCAAACTTTATCTACATATACACACAAAATGAGAAACCCCCACAAAACTTAATATATCTCTTTCCCTATCCAACCTTCATCATTCATCTTGATATCTTGACTTAAAATAGATGTATTATTCTTATATTTAACATGTAATTTCTCAGCCATTCAGATGATGTTGCATCCCTATAAGACCAGCTGTAGTAATTCCACTTCCTTTGTCCACCCTGTTGATTCCTCAAAGGGAATCAAGTATCCAGACTACAACATCCAGGATAAGTTCAATTGAAGCATATAATAATTTCTTGGCACATATATAAAAAATTAATTATCTTTTTCCATGGCTACACTTCGCCCTGTTCTAAAAATAACTTGTAAGGCACTCCAACATGCTTTATCTCAGTTCACCAGGAACCATCCCCAATATATCCAATTTTTACAGAGGTAATGAAATTGGTTTATGGATATAATTACCTAAATATGAAGTCTGTATCATTGGCAGAACTGAAGAGCAACTTATTCTCACATGCCAACTTCTAAGCATGTAAAGATATTTGAGTCCAAAGGCAACAGAAGCTGGTATTTCAGTACATTTAAAAAGAAATTGACATTTCCTTGCACTTGACAGCCAATCTTCCTTAAGTTTATCTTCCAAAAATTTGTACTGGGCAGGGACAGAAAGGAGGGTAAGTCAGCAAATAATAAAGATTTCTTTATCTGTACACCACATCCACTTGTAATCAACATCTTGCAGGAAGTATCCTGCTTTACTAGCCTTAGGCTTCAAAAATATAAAAGCCCCCTCATAGTAGCAGATACCAAAATGTGTAAAATACAACAAGACAATGCCTGCCATTGCCCACCAGTGTAAGAAGAGATCATAGAGTTAAATCTGTACACTTAAAACCTAATGGTGGCACTGCTATCTTTGGTACTACTTTGCTTCCTGATGACTCTACAATTTTCTTAAAATAGAATAACTGCCTCTGACAGACTTGTAGTTAATCAATGAACCTCAAAAATAAAAATCCTCTTCCCACCTCCCTACTTTTATACTAATAAAACTATCCACTGTGTTCTCACTTGGCAAATCAGATATATGATGACACTCCCAGTTCCACCTTTTACAGCAATTTTTCTGTGGAAGTGAATGAAGAGCTCACAAAGCACAGCAATTCTGTGTTCAAAAATAGTATGAATAAAAACTTTAAAAATTACTACGAGGATCAGCAGACTTTGACTAAGCCCTGCTTCTGTGCTTGAAACCTAAGTGCCTATTTATGAAAGCTTTTAAAAGGATATATTAAAACCAAGAGCCATGCAATGAACCAATGCCTGGACAAAGTCTGCTTCCAAGAGGTAAACCAAATAAGGGGAACTGTCACACCTCCACTGCAGGCTCCAAAACACACACAGAATGACACACAGGGTTGGAAGAGACCTTCAAGATGATCAGGTCCAACCCATGCCCTAAACACCTTAACTAAACCATGGCACCAAGTGCCATACCCAATCTTTTTTTGAACACATCTGGGGATGGTGACTCCACCACCTCTCCAGGCAGGCCATTCCAATATTTTATCACTGTTTCTGTGAAAAACTTTTTCGTAATATCCAGCCTATATTTCCCTTGATGCATCTTGAGACTCTCTGTCCTCTGATTCGGTCAGTGCTGCCTGGAGAAAGAGCCCAACCCCACCTGAGTACACCCACCTTTCAGGGAGTTGTAGAGTGATAAGGTCACCCCTGAGTCTCCTTTTCTCCAGGTTCAACACCCCCAGCTCCCTCACAGTGGTTCCTCTCAGGGTTTGTGTTCCAAGCCCCTCTCCAGCCTTGTTGCCCTCCTCTGGACATGCTCAACATCCTTCCCAAACTGAGGCACCCACGCTATCCTTGCTGGGGTGATTGTGCACAGAGGAACCATTCTCTCACTTTTCTCTTAAAGGACTTGGAATTACATGTGGATCCCTGAATATCTCTGCTTTTCTGCACCACCTATGAATTTGTTACCCCAACCAGGCACAGACCTGAAGGAGACAAAGAAAAGTACCTGCCATTACTTGACAGCCATTACTTGACAGCCATTACTGTGGTTCCTCATGTTTTTATGTAGAGGATAATCACAGATTCGCTGGTTTCACG